GAACCTCTGCGTAATCGCCTTGAACCAGAAAAGGCGGCAATACTCCAGTTCATCTATACTAATATTATAAAGAGGAAAACTTAGTATTTTTGTATGTATTAAAATCACTCAAAAACCACTGGACCGATTTTAAAAATTCTTTCACCATCAGAAAGGTAATTTATCTGTGAGTAACATAGGCTATATTTTATTATTATTAATATTTAGGATTTATTAATAAACAGCGTGTTTCAGGACGGCGTCAAAAAATTACTAAACTTTAACTTTTCTCGGCTTACGTTGCCTAAACCGTTAGAGGTATATAAAATGATGTATGAAAAAAATGTAGATCTCAAAAAGTTCTACAGAAAAATTAGCGATAGCATATATCTATCTTTAACGGTTTTCTTACAATAACCACTTTTTTGTTTACAAAATGAATTAAAAAACGCATCCTATTTGCGTCGTTGTTTTATTAGTTTCAATATTTATCCTTATCCAAATAAATGCGTTTGTTGGCAGGAAAATTTAATGTAGAATAAAATTGTCCTTTACAGTATTTAAATTGGACAAATAGTTCAGAAGATATCGCGAACATAAACAATAAGGGTAACGGAAAAATAAGCTTACAAGCTACCGGGCTTAGAAATTTGGAATCTTGTATCGGTAGATTTCTGTTATTACGTAGATTACTACTAAGTTAATACTTTTGGTAATAGGTTTAAAAAAAAGGGAGAACGTAATAGGTTATATTTGTAATTTCATGCGGGCGAAGTCGCGAGCAAAAGCAAAAGAGGAGGAACATGTATTTTAGTTAAAACAGGATTGGAATTCAAGGAAATAACTTTTATAGATAGCTATGCTGCGCAGAATACGTTTGAAGTCTGCGCCGTGGAGATTACAAATATAAAGTTAATTGTTGTCTGCGTTTATAGAACACCCCAATCAGATCCCACTGAATTCTTAGCGAAGTTAAATAAGCTACACGAGTTTTCCGTCAAATATAAATTGAAATTAAACATAGTTATTGCGGGTGATTTTAACATAAATACTGTTAAAGAAAGCAATGTAACAAACGATCTAAAAGATTTATCCCGCAACTACAATTTAAAGCTCCACATAGAAGTACCCACACCTAAATCATCTTGTATTGATCATATTTTAAGTAACATCTCAGATGCAACGGCAACGGTTCTATCACTTCATTTATCCGATCACGATACAGCGCAGCTGTTAACCTTCCCACTAAATCGCCTTAAGTATATATATAAGATTTTCGTATTAATAGTAGACGTATTTCGGATTACTAGTTTTGAAATAAATGTGTTGCTCTGCAAAAAGATTTTTATTTTTTTAATTAACTTAATACAAATTACAAACAAAAATACACAACTAAATAACAAATTACATTAAAATACAAACCTGCAAAAGAAAACAACATTTATGTTATTATATTATCATCCTTTTCCTTACATTTTACTCACTATATTTATGACGCCATTTTTGGCCTTAAGATGATTTCTAGAATCAACCAATCACCAATAGGCAATGACATTCGTTTAGAAACAGTGTTTTGACATAATTCTAAAATAAAAGAAATATTAATTTCTTTACATCTCCCCCCCCGGAAAAAAAAATGCAAAAAAATTTAAATACAAAACCATAGCCAACCATTTGCTTTCCTATTCTTCTATATGTGCTGGAATGAGTTTAGTGATGTGAAAAAGATTTGATTCTGTTTTTCCATGCCCGGTATTGATTCTATAAATACAATTGGAAATTTTTTCCACAATTTGAAAAGGTCCAATTTTTAGCTCATCCAATTTTTTCTTGTTTAATTTATTCCCATTTTCCACATACACTATGTCAACAACATTAAATTCATAATTTTTCCTTGTCTTGTCAAATAGAAGTTTGTTATAGTTATGTGATTTAAGTGTATTTTCTAAAGCTGTTCTTCTATCTTTTATCCAGGAATTTTGAGTTCTTTCTTCTTTCAATTCTTCCGGTAGAATTTCAAAATTCATGCCATTCAGAAGATAACTCGGGGAGAAACCAGTTACTGAGTGAATAGTTTTATTATATTGGTCTACACATTCATGAGCTATTGTTGTCCAGGCTTTTTTATTCCCATCTTCGTTAATTTTACATCGTATTTTATTAACTAATGTTTGGTTTAGTCGTTCATTTAGACCATTAGAGAATGGTGCATTTACCGCAGTGAATACAATGGATATTTGTTTATTCTCTAAGAATTTCTTAAATTCTTTCGAATTTAAACTTGGATATTGATCAGTGAGAAGCATTCTTATGTTCTCTATTTCAGAAGTATTTGTAATTAATCTTATGAAATCATTTGCATTTTGTGTTTTTGACGTTAGAATGAAAGCATATCTTGTAAAGTGATCCACTAATAAATGTAGGTACTTCTTTGTAGATCTTGAGCCTCCAAAGCCTCCTATTGTGTCTATGGATATTATAACATATGGCTTTGTTGCCGGACCTAGGTGTGACATAAATCCAATTCTGTTTTGTCCTCTTGACTTATTTTTTATACAAATTGCACAGTTTTTACATATTTCTTTTATATTCTTTGTCATGTTTTTAGCTATGTATAATGGACTAAGTGTCTTTTGCATCTGTTGAATTCCAATGTGACAAAGATTCTTGTGTACCTTTTTTATTAGTTCTATGCTGAATTGCTCTGACAGTATAATTTTCTCTTTGGTTCTAACTTTTTTATAATAAATATCATGTTTTTTCAATATTTTATCTGTATTCTTCTGTATTCCTTCGTTAATATTCTGATCTCTTAAAATATCTTCCAGTTTAATTAAGTTAACTATCTTCAATTGTTCATCATCATTTTCATTTGACTCTAGTACAGGGTTTCTGCTAAGGCAATCTGCTTCTAGATTATCCTTTCCTGGACAATATTTAATGTTAAAGTCATACTGTGACAAATAATACATCAAGTCCCCTAATTCCTCATCAGTCCTTGATTTCAAATTCATATTTTCTAGTGGTTTATGATCAGAGTAAACTGTAAATTGTTTTCCTATTAACCAATATTGCCAGTATCGCACCGCTTCCTTAATGGCTAAACATTCTAAGTAGATGGCTTTCTTTTTCTTTTGAGCAGAATTTAACTTCTTTGAAAAGTAAGCGACTGGTTTTTCTTTCCCATCCTGTTGTATCCTTTTTTTTTTTCCGAAGGGGAATGCTTTCTGCATACTCCATGC